CTTACTTTGATTGGTTTCAGGACGTCCAAGGTTCTCTCCCCGAACTGTCGGGGAATCATGTTTCGCTTTTTCCTGCTGTGCTACCCTACCCGGAGATTCTCCAGACAGATGAGTTAGAGGGGGCTGATGCATCATTGTGTTGGTGGGCTAAATGCTTCATGAATGTTCTTGTGGCGTGGTCCAATTACATGGTGCTTGGCTGTCCTCGCCCGGGTGATGGCGCAACAGAGCTGCGGGTGACTTACCGTGGGCTGTCTGATGTGAGGCAGTTTGCAGATCGGTTGCTTGGCGAGGTGACGGAATTTGCTAGTTGGGATCTCATTTGCGGCGAGTTTTCTTGCGAAGGTAAGAGGGCTATCATAGAGTCGCTCTTGAAAGATTTCCCGAGCACTGGTGCATGCTACAGCTTCGTTCCGTTCGAGGCGGGAGGCCATTCTCCTTCCACCGCGTTGGCCGTGGTGGCTGAGAGGCTGGCGATTCCTGAGAAGGCGGGCCAGGTTGACCCTCTTGATTGGCTACCCCCCGATCGTGCCGAGGTGGTCAAACATTTGGCGGATGTACGGCTTCCCGAGGAGTTGTGGGATGAGGTTCCCGTCGCATGCCATCGTGTACCTCCTGACCAGGAAAAACATGTGGCTCGGCGGCTTCTCGAGACAGGCATGGCTGTTCCTATTCCAGAAAGTGATCTTCCTAGAACCAATGCTGGTAGACTTTTGGTAGGTGGCCTTTTTGCTGTGGAGAAGAGTGATCATCAGGACAGGCTCATATTCGACCGCAGACCTGAAAACAGTACGATGCGCAGGCTACGATGGGCGGACCTCCCGAGTGGCACGTGCTTTACGCGCCTGCTCCTCAAGCCCTCAGAGTATCTCCGTGCGAGTGGTGATGATTTGAGAAACTTCTATTACACTCTTCGTCTTCCTGATGATTGGGTTCCCTATAACTCCTTAGGCCGACGTGTGGACCCTGAGCTCCTGAAAGAGTACGGCAAGGATCCTAGTGTACCGCATCGTCTGTGCTTCAAGGTGTTGGGGATGGGGGACATCAACGGGTGCGACATAGCTCAGGCCACCCACGAGGCGATCCTCGAAGGGGAGGGCGTGTTTGAAGCTCAGTGTGTGCTCGCATACAACAAGGCGGTTCCCGATGACGCGCTGTGGCAAGGTGCCTACTTGGATGACTTGCTCATCGCTCTTCGGATTGACGTCGGGGCCCCAATACCACTTGATGGCAGCTTCACTCCTTTGCCCCCGAGTCCGAGTGATCGAGATGTTCAAAAGGTGGCAGCGGCAGAGGTCGCGTATGAGAAGGCGAATTTAGAGCGCGCGTTGCCTAAAGCTTTTCGTTATGAGACTGAGTTTAAGGCCTGGGGCGCTGCTGTAGATGGTGTTCGAGGGATTGTGGGGGCCCCATTGGGCGTTCGTCGGCAAGTGTGGAGCTTACTGTATGCGATCGTGACCGTTGGATGGGCCTCCCAGGAAGTGCTGCGGAAAGTCATCGGGTACTTAGCATATATTTTCCAGTACAGGCGGGAACTCTATTGCCTACAGCATCGTGCTTATGTTTTCATTGCAAACATGCCGCAGGATCGGTGGATGTTCTTGCCAGCGTGGCTCTTGGATGAGTTGCGGAGCATGGCTTTGCACCTCCCCTTTGCCCACTGGAAGATGAGGCGAATCCTGAACGACTCGATCCTCGCAACGGACGCCACTCCTACCTCAGGTGGCTCAGTTCGTGCGGAGTGTCCCGACGGACTTTTGCGCGCTCTGTGGAAGCAGGTTGAGTTCCGTGGTGCACCCGTCAGGTTGGACCGTGATGTTGATTTGGGCTTTGAGGCGGAGCAGCCCTTAGAGCTCTCGAGGGTGGCGAGTGTTGCATCGGAGTGTCTTCATTGGGCAGTCACATCCAGCTATTCTTTCAGGAACACGAGCCACATAAATCTCCAAGAGGCCCGCGCCCTACGCAGAGAAATCATCCGGCTCACCAGTGACTTTGATCGCGGGGGAGTGGTGCAGATTTGCCTGAACGACTCCCGCGTTGTGGTTGGGGCTGTGGCCAAGGGTCGCTCCAGCGCTTTCCGGCTCAATGGAGTGCTTCGCACTCAGTTGCCATTCTTGGTCTTTGGGGACGTGGCGCTAGCTTTGATCTGGGTGGAAACCCTTTGCAATCGAGCGGATTATCCTTCTCGTTTTCTCCCTTTACCTGCTCCTTACCGTCCGCCGAGGTGGTTGATTCGACTTGGAGTCGCTGAGCGTTTCCAGGTTCGGGGCTTGGAGATCACCACGGGGAAGGGAGAGATCACCTGGGCTCATCAAAGGGTTGGTTTGGAGATGGAGGCGCCGATCAACATCATGAAGTCAACAGCCCTCTATGATGGGAGCATTGAACGTGTGCTTGATGAAGGGCTTGTAGACTGGGTTTGGTTTGCACCGGATTGCTTTCTAGGCACTGGTGCCGCCCATGAATCGTTGTGGGTGCGGATCCTGCAGCTTGCCGACCAAATCAGATCCACTGGAGGCTATTTCTTCGTCGAGCTTCCTCGTGGGAGCCCAGCCTGGAGCTTACGGGAGACTGAACTTTTCTTGCGATGTGAGTGCGCTCGGAAGTATATCATCGATATGTGTGCCTATGGCGATGGACC